TCCAGACTAGAAGAGATTCTGTTTGTAGTTGTCGGAGAAGCAGACTGTCGGGCATCTGATCCGGAAATTAAAAATTCTGGGGAAGAAGGTGCTTGAGTGAAACTTCCACATCTCTATCTATAAAAGGCAGGATGTGTGTGTGTAACGAATGCACGGCCGCAATTTTCGACGGATTTGCACCACAATTTACATGCACATGCTCCAAGTTAGCGGGAAGCCCAAGACCGACTTTGCATTTCCCAATTCCCATCGATAGTGGAAATAATCGATTTTTCATGCTTCTACGGCAGTTTTCATGTAGTTTGTGGCCATTTTCTACTGGCCAGAGTGAGAGCCAATAGCTGGCTGCCACGAATAGGCAAGAAGATTCTATTGGCCAGCGTGAGAGCTAACAGCTGACTGACACGAATGTTAACTAGCATGATAGCATGCAAAATAAAATCGATAGCTGCATTCGTCACAAGTGGGAAAAATTTAAATCGGCATGGCACTTTACTCCAATTGGCTCATTCGCTTGCTTAAACTCAACGTTTATTCTGATTCCGCAGAACTGGGTTGGGTGTGAAAAAGTATTTGTTGTTAACATTCTTTTTTTCATTCCGTTTTTCCAGTTACGAGTCCTTTTTTTAAAGCTGATCGTTTTGTGTTCATTTTGTTTAGTTCTTTTTCGTAACAGATTTAATGTTTAGTATAGAGCTTAGAAAAATTCGCAGTGTGAGATAGGCAAGAAGTAAGACATGTAGCAACATCAGCACGGAAAAGGGCACTCTTTTAAAGGCAAGGAAGGGCAAAAATATTTTAAGTCAAGTGATAGCGATTGCTGTATGAGTCGTACGATTTTTGAATCAAGCACGGGCAACGCCGGGCCATGCTGCTAGTTATCAATATAATACGAAGGGAAATAAGGATGAATTGACGCTGTGCGCGTGGAATAGTGAATCCTAGCTGTGAAGGTCTGAACTGGTGGAACTAAGAAACTTACTTTGTTTAAACATTTGCCATGGAAATAACGCTGTGGGGGAAAAAGATTTGTAGAGTGGGAAATAATTCATCACCCAGAGGGCTACGTAATCGCTTTTGAGTTCTGTCAAGAGTGGACGGTGAGGACTGGGCATCACTTTTATTATATAGCAGCAAAGAGAGAGCATGGTGTTTTCATTAAGTGAATTTAGGTAACAGCTGTAACCGCTTTTTCAGAAATTGGCGTTTTGTCACCTCCAGCGTTTTAACAAGAGGCGAAGAGAAGTCTTATCCAAAATGGCGATCTTTATGATTCTGACACGTTCAGTATGTCGCTATCGAGCGACTCAACAAGTATTTGACGTTATTTCAACGACTGCCTGATCAATTTGTGTATCAATGTATCAGCGGTAGTCAAAAGCGCTATTCACCGTCCTTATTGCATGGAAAAAAAATAACAGCAGAAATATATTATTAGGTGAATGGAGAGATTCAGCAATCACGGTTATCATTATAATTATAACAAGCTCAAGTAAGCTGGTTAAAATGGCTGTGTTGACATTAAGAAAGGGAGAGAGAGAGATTGAGAGGGAGAGAGAGATTGAGAGGGGGAGAGGAGGAAAGGAAGAAGTAAATTAAAAAAAAGAAAAAATACGCAAGTAAAGAAGACATAGAAAAAATGGCGGAATGTTTTGTAGAATCGATCAACACAGCCGTAGTTCTTCCTCTGTGGAAAGAACCACGGAAAGGAAGGAAGGCTGAAATAACACATAACAGAAGGGGTGGGGGGAAACAGTGCTTAGATCTACAGAGGATTGAGAGTTATGGAGAGTCATGATCGCCCACGTCGAGAACGGACACGGCATATAAAAAGAAAAGATGTACACAACAAGATTGCGAATATTGCTGTGTATATCGATTTGTTTTTTTTTTCTTTTTTTTGTAGATTTATAGAATAAAACCCGCATAAAATATGTGGTTTATATATTATAAAATTTGTAATAAAAAAGAATTATTTTTTAGATCCGTGGAAAGAGGATTCGTCAGAAGAATCATAAAATATATATATATATAAAGATATAAATCTTCTAACTCGATACTATCGCACTCGTTAATGGGGCATTTGGTGTAACATTAGGAGTTTCTTTCCCGATTGTCATTCAGTATTTGGCAAGTGTGTCATCGACAGTTTAAAAAGGTACACTGCGTCCATCTTGTTCGAAAAAAAAAGCCATTATATTCTAGAGTTTAAAAAAGTCTTATTTTTTTCTTAAATACGCTGCTGCAAAATGATAAAAGTAATATTAACCATTTTCCTTGCAAGGAAGAATGCAATTAGCTAAATGCTTGTCGTGAAAATGTGGACACCGGCATATCTGATTTTGACGTTAAAATATGTGCAAAAAAGTGAGGAAAATCTGACGATAATATAAAAAAAGAAAACGACTTTATAAATAAAAAAAGACATCTTTGCTATTAGACGACATGGAAATGGTGCTAGAAGATATTCACCAACCTCCCCACGCGGTCAGATTTGGCACAAGGCCGAATTTAATGCGCGGAGGACCGAGCCCGTAGCTCGGGCAAAATTCACGGGGTCGGGTAACTGTCTCCAATCCCCAGACGAGACTCTGCCCTTCGACATAGCCTCGTTTGGGTTCATGTCTGCCCGGAGCCAGAGAGTTTGACAAGCACACTTGGAAGTGAATCCCAGTGAAGATATTCACTAATCTCCCCACGCGGTCAGATGTGGTACGAGGTTGAATTTAATGTGAGGTGAACCGAGCCCGTAGGCTGGGTAAAAAATTCCCCGTAGACCCCGTATAAACAGGGTCGGGTAGCTTTCTACAATCCACAGACGAGACTCCACCCTTCGACATAGCCTAGTCTGGGTTCCTGTCTGCTCGGAGCCAGAGAATTTGACCATCACACTTGGAAGTGAATTCCCAACTGGAAGATATTCACTAACCTCCCCATGCGGTCAGATCTGGCTAAAGGCCGAATTTAATGTGGGGTGAACCGAGCCTGCAGGCTCGAGCAAAAATTCCCCCGTAGACTCCGTATACACAAGGTCGGGTAGCTGTCTATAATCCCCAGACGAGATTCTGCCCTTTGACATAGTCTCGCCCGGATCCAGAGAATTTTACAAGCACACTTGGAAGTGAATTCCACATTGAAGATATTCACTAATCACCCCACGCGGTCAGATGTGGCAAAAGGCCGAATGTAATGTGGGGTGAACCCAACCCGTCGGCTCGGGCAAAAATTTTCCGTAGACTCCGTATGCACAAGGTCGAGTACCTGTCTACAATCCCCAGACGAGACTCTGCCCTTCGACATAACCTTGTTTGGGTTCCTGTTCTCCCGGAGGCAAAGAGTTTGACCTTAGGAAGAGAATTCAACAGTGAAGATATTCACTAACCCAACGCGGTCAGATGTGGCAAAAGGTCGAATTTAATATGGTTGTCGTTTGATCTGGGTTTTCATTTGCACGGGACTTTTTTTTTGCTCGCTACAGCCTTGGCTCTTTTGATTGCAATCTGGTTCCTCTGTTGGCGGAGATTTCTTTTTGCGAGGCATACTGCTGCCGTATGCAATAGGCAACAATAAACTACAGAAGAACTCAAAATTGATTGCTGCATTTAAGTATTGCATTAATATTTAAGCTTACCTTTTAAAATTTTAACGATAATTCTTCTGCCATCACATAATTTGAAGACAATTTAATAAGTTCTCACTTTCCGTACAAACAATTATTTTTATTTCATGAGCGACTTTCACTAGCTTTCACAATTAATCTCAATTATCCTCAAATTTATTTTCAAGTTATAAAAATTGTTATCGTACAAAAAAATTCGTCGCAAAAAATCACGTAAAAAATCGCCGAAGATAATCGCGGTAATGAAAATTTGGGAATCCAAAATTTCAGGATTGAGGGTCTGGATCCGACCCGGTATGTTTTTAATTTGCTCACGGAGTCGGCTTAATTCCAAAATGGTATGATGTGTTGGGCTACGGCCTTTAGGAGTAAAATTGGAAAAGTGTGACACACTGATATTTGCATTTATTTATACCGATAAATAGGTTCGTCTATCGTCCGATTCAAACTCCCTTTTGAGCTTTTGAACAAGAGTAGATGTTTATCTCTTGTTTCCTTTTTAGGATTGCATTTCCAGTTCCTTCTAAAGTCTTTTTCATTCTCTTTTATGCCCAGTAGTACCTTGCGTCTTAGTGGCATTATCGCCTTGCTTGGGGTGAATTGATTAAAAAAATATATTAATACTGTTAAACGCTTCAAGACTTAAGCAGTGATTTTTCTGCTGAACTTTCTCGATTTCTTATTTAAAATCTGAACAGACATTGTATGATCCTTTTGTTTGAGATGCCACAAAACGTTGCACAAATTAATTTGCTGATGACGCTTGATTTCATTTTTGGGTGGGGAGCTAGTTATCTTTTCTTGCAAGGTCGTCTTTAAGGTCATTATATTCTTGAAAGGTCATTTCATAGCAGATCTCGTTGAGTTGATTAACTATCAGATGGTTAATGTCAAAAAGAAATGTCAGAATTATTTAATGTCAAAGAACGGAGACAAAAGAGAAAATAATTAATTGTAACACCAGTTTATTAAGAAGTTGTTTTTTTCCCCGTAGTGTTTGATTTAAAAGTATAATGAATAAAATAAAAAACGCGCTTATGATCTTTACTTCATTTACTGTATATTCTAAAATAAAGATATGGCTAATGTCAACAATGGCGACGACCCCTACGGTGTTTGTATTTAAAATGCCTTTTTTTTTTTTTCTTTTTTTTTACTTTTTTTTTGCTGAGTAAGTTTATTTTGTTAGCTAAAGTTTTCAGATGATATACCTAGAAAAATGATTTGGATAAGTATTAATGTTTTTGTCATTTCAGTGAATGTGGTAATCAAAAAGGCAGTTCAGGTGCATTTCACGCCGAGGAATAGTTTCCCCTCCTTACTGATCAACTTATGAAGTAAATAAAATTTGATTACACAAGCCGAACCTTTATCATTTGGTTTATTGAAAATTTTTATACGAGAGCGAGAAAGAGCGCGCGCGAGAAAGAGCGAGCGAGAGAGAGAGAGAGAGAGAGAGAGCGAGAACGAGAGAGCGGAGGGGGAGGGATAAAGATAATAGATAGATATACTGATAGATAATAGATATACTGAGTGAGAGAGAGAAATAAATAGAGAAAACGAGAGAGAGAGAGAGAGAGAAAGAGAGAGGGGAAGTATAAAGAAAGGAAGAAAGAGAGAGGGAGGGAGAGATATAGATAGAACGAGATCCTAAAAGAAAGAAACAGATAAATATAAATGAGTGAGTGAGTGAGTAAGAGAGAGAGAGAGAGAGAGAGAGAGAGAGAGAGACAGAGAGAGAGAGAGAGACAGACAGAACAAGAGAGAGAACGAGAGAGTGATGAGGGGGAGGGATAAAGATAATAGATATACTGGTAGATAATAGATATACGGAGTGAGAGAGAGAAATAGGTAGAGAAAACGAGAGAGAGAGAGAGAGAGAGGAAGTATAAAGAAAGGGAAAATAGAGAAAGAGAGAGGGAGGGAGGGATAGATAGAGATAGAACGAGATCTTAAAAGAAAGAAATAGATAAACATAAATGTGAGTGAGTGAGTGACTGAGTGAGAGAGAGAGAGAGGGGGAGAGAGAGAGACAGAGAGAAAGCGAGAATGAGAGAGAAATAGATAGGGAGTGAGAAAGAAAAAGAAAGAAAGAAAGAAAGAAAGAGATAAAGACACGAGTATGAGAGAGAAAGAGTGAGAGATTGATAGAGGTACTGAGTGAAAGAGAAATAGAAAAAAAATGCGATAGACATAGATACTGAGTGAGAGAGATAGAGAGATAGAGAAGGTGAAAGAGAGTGTGAGGAAAAAAGAGAAAGTGGGAAATAGAGATTTTTAGGGAGGGAGAGAGAAGAGAAGGAATTAGAGAGAGAGAGAGAGAGAGAGAGGAGGAGGGGGAGGGAGAATGAAAACCTTTTTTTTCTTTTTATTGATGTTAGCATAAATCAGGATAATATGTGTTTACTCACCGAGCCAAATATGAAATGATATCTAGAAACTGGCGATAATAACTTGTTTCACCGCAACAGTAAAGCCAACGAGGGAAACGTAATGTAAATAAAGAAACGAGAATAAAAAGAACGCAAGGCGAAGGGGGAGGCCAGCGTCTCTGTTATTTGCAGACGCAGGGACAGGAATGATGGCTTCGAGGGTAAAAAAAAAAAAAAAATAGCACCGATAAAAGAGACAAACAAGGCGAATAAAATCTGACAGGAGGTAAAAAGGGATAAAAATGATGGGACTGGCACTTTAACAAACGATAAAACATTTCAAAGCGAACAAGTAGCATTCGGAGAGAAGGAACGTCAATTCTCAAAGAGAGAGAGAGAGAGAGAGGAGAAAAAGTGAGGAATATAGAAGGAGAGAGAGATACAGATTGAGAGAAAGAGAAGACAAAAAGAAAAGGACAAAGAGAGAGAGAGAGTGATAAATTTAGAGAAAGAGAAGGAGAAAACGGACAGAGAACGAGAAAGAGAAACTGAAACACAAAAAAGAAAGAACGAAATAGAAAGACAGAGCGAAAAAGAGTGAGAGAAAGAGAGAGTGAGAGAAAAAGAAGAAAAGGACAAAGAGAGAGAGAGAGAGAGAGAGAGAAATTGAGAGAAAGGGAAAGGGGGAGAACGGAGAGAGAATAAGAAAGAGAAACCAAGAATAAAACACAGAAAAAGAAAGAAAGAAAGAGAGAGAGAGAAGAAAAAATGAGGAGTATAGAAGGAAAGAGAGAGATAAATTGAGAGAAAGAGAAAGGGAGAAAACGGACAGAGAATGAGAAAGAGAAATTGAAACATAGAAAAGAAAGAACGAAATAGAAAGACAGAGAGAAAAAGAGTGAGAGAAACAGAAAGTGAGAGTGAGAGTGAGAGAAAAAGAAGAAAAGGAGAAAGAGAGAGAGAGAGAGAGAGAAAAATTGAGAGAAGGAGAAAGGGGGAGAACGGAGAGAGAATAAGAAAGAGAAACCAAGAATAAAACACAGAAAAAGGAAGAAAGAAAGAGAGAGAGAGAGAGAGAGAAAGAGAAAGTGAGAGAAATAAATAAAAAAAAGAGAGAAAGACAGAAAGAGTAAGATAGATAAAGAAAGTCAGAGTGAAAAGAAAAAAGAAAAGGGGAGAGAAAGAGAAAGAGAGAGAAAAAGAGAACACAGGAGTGAGAGACAGAGAAAGAGAAAGAGATAGATATAAAAGGATGGTAAAGAGAGTAAGCGAATGAGAGAGAAACGATAGAGAGAATACAGCAAGTGCCGGAGAAAATGAATATTTACTTAGATTTACAAAGCTTATCTAAGTCTGGCACAAGGATATCATAGGGATATTATTCTTACTATACTATCAATAGTATGCAGTGATAGGATACTAAATAGCGTTCAACTAACAAATGCAGTTCCATGTTCTGAAACTAGTTACAAAAATTCTTCATCTCTTGATATTGCATACTATTTCATTTTTCATCGGAAACAAATGTATGATAAATTGCCATTCGCTATTGTAAACATTCCTCTACCGGATGCTCTAAATATTTTCCGTCGAGTTATGGTCGAATAATCAAGATGGCTACTACATCAGATAAGGTTCTTTGAAACCCATGTTATTAAGATATTCTCTAATTTTACGTTTCGAATCTAATGGAACATTGTCCTGCACAAAAATAATTTTTTCTTTTGCTGAAAGCGTTGGTCTTGAAATACATATGTAAAAAAAAAAAAGACGTAATTCTTTTAAAAACGACACACGTAAATGAAAAATCATTCGGATATACAGATATATCATTCTTATTTACATTATTCGGACTATTGTCCTCATCTTTGTCGCCATATTTATTACAAAGTATGGTGACAAATATGAGGACAATAGTCCGAAATATGTAAATAATGTACATAATACCTCATTTCAGAAATATAGACAGACTAGCAGTAGAGCCCGGCGTTGCCCGGAGATGTAACATTAAGAGATAGATCAAGTATCGATCATCATAAAGACTGAAAAATAAAATTGACAAAGATTATTGTTTCAGGTTGACGGACACGCATGTCTCAATTAGTTTTTTTTTTACGAATTGGTCAAACCAAATTCACAAAAACATTTTTTCAATCGTTATGAGTCTACCAATTGAATAGAATTTTATTATAAACAATTGTCTTGTAAATGGAATTTTTAAAGCATTCTGAATGTAAAAATAAAGAAAAAAGTGTGCAAGACAATAAGAAACACTACCTGCCAAAAAAAAAAGAAGTGAAGTTTTGTTGAAATCGTTTGAAAAATGTAGGAAATCCGATCCCATATATAAAGACACACACACACACACACACACACACACACACACACACACACACACACACACACACACACACACACACACACACACAACCTAGGTTTTATAATAAGTATAACTCGATATGAGTTGTCTCCCTTTCATTCTCGCGATGCCTCTCAATCGTGTTTTCAAATTGATTTTGTGCAAAAACAATTGTGTTTTTCCAATTTTTGGCGCTGTCAGAACCACCGCAAGGTAATTTTACGTAGTCCTGTGAAGTTTTGTTGAAATCGGTTGAAAAATGTAGGAAATCCGATCCAATATATAAAGGTACACACACACACACACACACACACACACAACCTGGGTTTTATAATAAGTATGATATTATTCTTTCGAATAAAAATATTCAGTTGCAAAACACGGAATTATCGTATGGAGGAATTAATCTAAGCTGTAATCTTAACATTCTCTTAAACATGTGCACATGACTTAACATTCTCTTAAACATGTGCACATGACTTAACATTCTCTTAAACATGTGCACATGACTTAACATTCTCTTAAACATGTGCACATGACTTAACATTCTCTTAAACATGTCCACATGACTTAACATTCTCTTAAACATGTGCACATGACTTAACATTCTCTTAAACATGTGCACATGACTTAACATTCTCTTAAACATGTGCACATGACTTTACTATCTATAATCCGGGTCGGCGCGTCTTACTCCAGAAACCACCGACCGGGGACGGGGGGGGGGGTTATTTTGGGGCCCCATTGTGGCTTGTAATATTTTTTTCAGCATTGTTTTATGGCCATCCACCGTTTTCAAAAATTATTTTTAAACTGACGTTATATTGTGAGTCATCAACTAACTTCTTTTATGTGCCGTATCCTTCCAGGACGTAGGCGATCATGGCTCTCCACTTTCCCCTATCACTTGTAGCTTTCAGTAAGTTTCATCCCTCTGTCACGTTCTGTCATCCACTTACTTAAGCCCGCCAGGTATGTCATGCGTTGCTTTTCCTTGTCTCTCTTTCCCTCTATTCGACCTGTGAGTATCAGATTCACCAGGCCCTACTTTCTCATTACGTGTCCCAGAAATTTCAGCTGTCTCTTCCTTATGTCAAGTATTAAGCTTCCTCCTTATTTGCATCCTCTCCAAAACCTCATCGTTGCTCACACGCCCGGTCCATGATATCCTTAGCATCCTTCTGTAGAACCATACCTCAGTCGCCTTGAGTCTCTTCTTCATCTTTGAGGAGACCGTACAACAGATGTCACGTAACAGCTCAGTACTCTTTTCTTTGTTACCAAAGAGATCTTCCAGTCTCGGAATACTTTGCCCAGCTTTTGGAATACGTCCTTGGCGATCCCAATACATCTACGGATAGACATCGGGCATCTGCATGGTCGGTGAGGTGCGTGACTACGCAGGAAACCCAGATGAATTTAGAGCCCCAAAAGGGCTAGTTTCAGCATCGATTTTTTGCCTTTTGTACTTTTTACTTTTTTTTTTACTAGTTATATATCCTATTTTTTTTTGCATTTCTAGAAAGATAAAACCAAGAAAATAATCGCTTAAAAAATAAAAACGTTTAAAGATTTGAAAACATGAAAAAATTTCCCGAAAACTGAAATACTGTTTTTAAAACAAAATTTTAATACAATCCAGCTTGTGTTGTGTTGAAATATTTGTAAAACATTTTTTCAGCGGAGATGCGGTTGGTGATTAATCCTTTATGGAAATATAAAAATTTGCAACTTAAACATTTTTTTCGAATAAAATTTAGTTAGGAAAATGTTTGTGGTTATTACAAATAGAATAACATTTTCCCAGATGTTTTGAAATAAATAAAAAATCAAAAAAAAATCTATTCATTATAAAAGTAGATAATTAATGAATATGTACTTTAATTTTACTTAATATGAGATAATTAATGAATATGTACTTAAAATTTCATTTATCTGATTTTTGGTAATTCAAAAAAAAAAAAAAAACAACAGCAAAAATAACAAAAACAAAAAAACGAAAAAACAAACGTTACCACTACCCGCAATTTTCCTTTGAAGGTTTATGGCACCCGGTTTGGGAAACATTGAAATCGACATGTAGCAGAAAAAGGGGACCTATATCAAAGTTTCGGGTGAGGTGATGTTTCAGCGTGATATGGCTGTAACTTATAATGAACACGAAAAAGAGACAGCAATTGACATAACATTTTAATATCAGAATATTATAGCTATCAGAAAAGAGCGTAGAGCGCATAATGAGGAAAGAGGGCTTAGAAAATTTGGTACTCAAAAGGCAGATTGAAGGCAACGGGAACAGAGGAAGAACAACGTATAACCTGCCTAGCGAGATTGTGCAAACGGATGGCAGAAAAGGGTTTAGGAGAGATAACAAAAAGTGTACGTTTATTAAGGGCAACAAAGGGCTGAAAATTGTTGTGATTAATGATTGCCAACATTCTGAAGGAACACGACAATCATGGAAGATTTTTTAAAAATTAGTCCACCCTTCTTGTTTCATGAAAAAATAGCTTTCAAAAATCCTGAACTAAATGTGTGATTTGGGTGTTTGAATCTATGTTGTTCATTGAAGTAAATGTTTCTTGTCTCGTAACTTTTAATCATGTTTTTGTTCTAATTCAACGAGTATTACATTTCCAGCATCATCACTCAT